AATAAATTAAGGGATTATTAAATATAAATGGTGTTAATGACCCATATTTACCATTTAATGGAGTCAAAGTCTCATAGTTTTGAAAAAAATGAAGACATGAAAAAGCACATAGGTACCACTATTTGTGTTACATAAAAAAATGGTACCTGATGCACAAAAAGTGATACTTATGTGCCTAAAAGTGGTACCTTAGTGAGGGTAAACAATGTTTTTCCATTTATATGTCATATTTTGGTAAACTTCAGTTTTTTGAAATTATGAGACTTTCACTCCATTGATAAATGTAGGTCATTATCACCGTTTATATGTAATAATCCCAAAAATTAATATCTTAAAATACACGCCATGTAAAATGACCATTTTATCCATTTTAGCACCTTGTCTCTCTCTTCTCTACTTCCTCTCAGTTTTCTCTCTCCTCTCCACCTCATCTTCTCAACCTATAACTGCGACAGACTACGCCACCGTAGTTGTGGCACGCCGGACTAAAATACACCGGCTTGAGTGTTGAATATCACCCTGGAACCAACTTCTGAAACGGAGGGAAGCTCACCGGAGGTTGTAGCTTCTGTTGGGTCTTGCAGGTCTAAGACAAAGCTCACCGAAACGTGATGAAGCTCACTGAACAAAACTAAAGCGAAGCACACGTTTTTGTCTGCCGTAGCTCATTGCCGGAAAAGATAGATGTTTCTGAACGGAAATGCGTTGGTTTAATCGCCGTCACCAGAACTAGTCATTATAGTTTTTGGAGCTCGCCGTTATGTAAACTTCACTGGACTCGCTCTATAGACTTCACCGAACTGGGTCAGTGAGCTTCAGTTTTGGTTGCCGATGGAGTATGTCGGAACTTCTATAGCGTTGGTCACTGTCGTGGTTCATCACTACTTGTAGCGACGCCAGACTGAAATGAAGCTTCACCAAACTTGGGCTCGCCGGATTGAATTTCTGACCACTGAGATACACCGTAATAACTAGGTTTGGTCGTTGTCAACTCAGAGCTCCATACCAGAGTTCATGGTGTGTTGATGAAACTGGTCTTCTCTTAAGCTCCCTGAAGCTTCTGGTTTGAATGAAACACATTAGAGCTGAAACTGAAGCTTTCTATTTACTTTGCACTGACTGAAGCTCGTCTGAAATTGAACTGGAATTGGCTGAAAATGGGTTTGCATTGTAACTCCGGCCAGAATAGTTTTTCAGTGAATCATCAACCCATGGTCTTCAATGGAGTTTGGTCTTCACTGGAGCTTCAATTGTGGTCTTCAATGGAGTTTCGGCCATGTGGTTGCACCGACAGAGACTCAATGTTTGAGTCACCGATTCAAGCTCTCTCACTACACCACCTACTTTTATGAAATATATATGCGTGTGCGTGTATGTGTGTGTGTATACATATATTGTTCAATCGTAAGCACCCAATCACCACCACCGATACGTTTTGCCCAACTCCCATCATAATTCAGTTGGGTTATCAATACAGCATCTCAGTCTGGTCTTCAATGGATCAACATGATGAACGACAACGAGTCCACGTCGGTTTGGTCACTGTGGCTTTTCAGTTTGAATGGTCTCCATGGCCTTGAAGCTATGAACATATACAAGAAGGAAGTGATGAAAGAAGAGGTGGTGGTGGTGGCGACATTGTGGTAGGCAGGGACAGATCCACATTGAAGGTAGTGGGGGAAATTACCGTCACTGATATATTTTATTTTATTTTATTTTATTTTTATTTTTTATTTTTTTTATCCTTGTAATTTGTTCACTTTTAATAATATACTCATAAAATATTACATTTGCTATCTTAAAATTACTAAAAAAAATACACTATTGCTTCCCAAAATTTATTTTTGCCCTCTTACCTTACATCAGGTGATATTTTTTCAGTATCTCTTATTATAATGTGAGAATGGCAAAATAGAAAAAAAAAAAAAAAGGGCAAAATTGAATTTTAAATTTACTTTTTCAAAATCGGTGGGCATTTGCACTTTTTTAAAAACCCATGACACATGCACCTTTTTTGAAAAATATGGACTTATATGCACCTTTTTTGAAAAGGAGGAGGATGTTGTGCACAAAATGTAAGCCACGGTATATTTTTTTACACTTTACCCTATTTTAAAAGTCAGACACCACACAATAGCACAAACAACTTCACTATTTCTTTTTTGTCCACACTCTTAGCCAATTTTGATTAGGACAAAATGCAAAATTTCCACCTAAATTATTGTTATATTTTTGCATATTATCCCTTAAACTATAATTTAATCAAAACTCCCTAAATTATCCACAAATTTTCAATCAACCCCCTCACATGTGTTTTTTTTTTTTTTTTTTCTTTCTTTCTTTTGTTTTTTTATCTCGGGAAATGTCTGTTAAGAATTAAGAGAAAAATACTAAAATACACTTGAACAAGAAATAGAGGACAAAATGCAGAAAATCAACTATCACTTTTCAACATATAATGATTATCCATTGAATATCACTTTTTGACTAATTATCCCCATGAACTATCAATTGGACCAAAGCACCCATTGAACTAACCCAAAAAAAATTACATTCTCCTCCTCTGGTTGACATTATAAAGAAGAGAGAATTATAGCTAAATCTAATTACGTATATAATCCTAATTTACTATTGCAGGTGTAATTGTGAACAAAGACATAGAAGCATAAAGTCGTCATTATAATAAGGTTTATATGATGGGATGCAATTCTTCACATACACGGGAGGAGAGTGATTGAATTTTTCTTTTCCCAATAGTTGAGGGGTCATTTGTCAAATTATTAATATTTTTTTCTCAGGTAAAATTGTCAAAATAATTGTTCACGATCGTATTGGGTCAAAACTGATAATTTAGGAATTAATTAAGGGAATATCTACATTTTGTCCTTCTCCCATATTTTTATCTCAAATGCGTCTAGATTAAAACCGTAACAACTTTAAATCGTTAATTCAACAATTTCAAATTGATAGTGCAAAAATTAAATATAAGTTGTTAATTATTAATTTAATAATGCTGCAACATTGTAACATGATTAATATATTACATTCTAGGTGAACATTGAAAAGAGACAAATACAGCGAGGCACCAACGCCAAGTCCAAGAGAGACAACCCCATTTAATTTGGTTGCTATATTTGGAAACTCCACCTCCACCATATGCTACACTCGTGAACTTTACAATCAGCATCAATTTCCACACACAAAACCAACAAATCTTCCAATATCGTCTCGCAAAACAGCAAGTCATCAATCGATTCATTCTCTTCCCCACCAAACCTTTGTTTCAAAACTGGGCATGAATACGTAACCAATCATGGCAACATTTCCAAACGTGTTTTTCTAATTAATCGTATTGATTTAAAAATTTGTACATATACCCAATTTCATGGACTATAATTGACATGCATCAATATTTCTTTATGTCAGCTTTCATGAACCAGAATTGACCTCTCATTCAAATAGATCCTTACAATTATATATATATATATATATATATATATATATATATATATATATATATATATATAACTAAGCTACCTCTGAGCTTCTAAGCCTTCTATATATGTGTGTGTGTGCAGGGTTGATGGAGGTCATGTCATGTGCAAAAATGAAGCGATGATTGAGATGTTAGACCCACTTGGACCATGAATAAATGTCTGGCATATAGTAGACCCACCAATTAGGACATCAATAATGCAGCTCCGTGTTATAAAGTTTTTTAATATAATTAAACATGTAATTAACACATTAAATCTACGTGTTTTAGTAATCTGTCCAAAATTAGTGGATTAAAAAATAGAATAAACGTATTCTAATTGTGTTGACAAATTACAACATCACTATCAATCACAGAGGACCTTACATCTTCTCCCGGGCTTTGTTTCGTCTCCTTTTCTATGATATTATTGGTTTTGTTTAAAAAAAAAAGAAAGAAAAAGAACTAGCTACAACAACTTAGTACATAAAATACAGATAAACTAAGTTCATAAAATACCGACTCTCCAAGCCATCAGTTTTCCTTTGAGGAAGAGAATGAAGGTGTGGTGCATAATTTTTTTTACTAGACTTGTGTAGCTTTGAGAATATGAGCAAATTGGAGGTGTATAAGATCGAACGCGAATCGAAGTCAGTGCTACCAAACAATGCATATTTCAGGCAAGGAAAGGTTGGAGATTTTAAGAACTATTTAACAAACAAATGAGATGATTTAAGTATATTGATCAAATCACAAAGGAGAAGTTAAAGGATTTGGTTTGATGTTACTTTGTGTGTGTCTCAGATGATCAGCACAACAAAATTAAGGCTTTGATTTGTCTATGCAGTGAGAGATGTGAATTCATGGGGGAACAAAAAATGTGTACTTAAGGTTGGTTATTTTAATTTCTACTCTCTCTTCTACTCAGACAAGTGTGCTGTTTTATAATCTTTCTAAATCGATCTACCTTTTTTTTAAAAAAAAAAATAAAAATAAATTAGAGTTAATTTGGATTTGCAAATGAAAATAAGTTTTGATGATGTTGCTGTTTGAAAGAATTAATCTCCATTAAATTTTCTTTTGTTTGGCCAATGCAGCAAATGTTAATGGCTTGTTCTAGCTGCAAAAGCATGCTTTGCAGATGCTTTGACTAAGTACCATATATTTTGATCATTTAAATTATATTATATGAAGGAAAGGGATTAATTAATTTTAAAAAGTTGGGTGGAAATTTTATAATTCAGTTATCAAACAAGAACGGTTTACCAACTATTTATTATATATTTAAGGTTGTCAGCTCTCAAACAACAAAATATTTCAGAATATTTCCTATCAAATCTCAAAAATCTGATTTGATCAACACACAAATTGTTTTTTATTGCCAAATGTTGTTGACAGATTGTCAAATTCAAAAAAATAATCTCAAGCTTTCTTATGGTGGCCCTTTTTCATCCTAGAAACTCTCATCTATATATAAATTAATCCTTCTCTAACATATACATTCATATATCCTTCTCTAGCTCCTATGGCAGCCTCATTCCCCACCCAAAAATCTGATTCGCTCAAAAATCATGAAGAAACGTCCTACCAAAAATATTTAGAATTGGTCTCAACCCTGCCTAGAGAAAAAGGATGGTTAACTGAGCATGTCCAACTCTACGAAGGCTTTTGGTTCGGTTCAAAGTACCTTCAAGGAACCATAGCTCTCCAGCAACACTTCAAGGCTCGAGCCAACCATGTTTTCCTGGTCACCATTCCCAAATCCGGCACCACTTGGTTCAAGGCCCTTCTTTTCGCAATAACCAATAGAAAGCGCTATGATTTTCATAACCACCCTTTGCTCACAACAAACCCTCATGAATTTGTACCCTACTTGGAGGGGTATGCAATTGAACACCCAACTTCGAATCCTGACACTCCTCTCTTGGCTACCCATATTCCTTATACTTCACTGCCCAAATCCATACTAGATCAATCTGGTTGTCCCATTGTTTACGTGTTTCGTGACCCAAAGGACATGTTTGTTTCTCAATGGCATTTTGTAAGTAAGCTCAGACCCAAAGAACTGCCGGTCCGATCCATAGAAGAGTTGTTTGAGCAATTCTGTAGAGGGGTGTCACCCTATGGGCCATTTTGGGATCATGTGTTGGGGTATTGGAGAGCAAGTGTGGAATGCCCTGATAAAGTGTTGTTCTTAAAATATGAGGACATGAAAAGTGAACCCTTTGTTGTTGTAAAGAGATTGGCAGAGTTCTTAGGCCACCCTTTTTCTTTGGAGGAAGAGAATGAAGGTGTGGTGGGTAAAATAGTAGAGCTGTGTAGCTTTGAGAATTTGAGCAAATTGGAGGTGAATAAGATTGGGTCTCACACTGATGGCACAACATTTGTGGTACCAAATAATATATTTTTCAGGCAAGGTAAGGTTGGTGATTCCAAGAACTACTTGACAAGCGAGATGGTAATGCGTATTGATCAAATCACAAAGGAGAAGTTTAAGGATTTGGTAATTTGATATGGGCTGCTTTATCAAGTCTTTCTAGCTCCTCCGGAAGTATCACCTGTGTGTGTTTGTGTTGGTGGGGTGGGGGATATTGAAAAATAATTATTGTGTGCCAACTTTTATGAGTAATGTTATAAAAATCCATCGATTTTTATAGTTACTCTAATAAATAGAGTTCAATATGAATTTTTATCAGTTTTTTAAAAAAATAAAAATACTTTTTTTAGTTGTGTAGGTTAATTATTAGTTGTTACATCAAATCACGAGTAAAAGTAGTCGATGTAAGACTTACCAGTTCTTGTTGAAAATTTGTGTTCATGGATGCACTTCTAATAGCGACAACAAAAAGTAAAATTGGAAAAACTCGGCAACTGCAAAGTAAAGCATCGTACAGCCTAGGGAAAAAGAGGCCAACCAAACAAGCTTGATGTGCCCAAAGCAGAGGCCCAGTGTTTAATTTAGAAAATAAAACAGGCCCACCAAACAAGCTCGATGAGCCCAAATCTGAGGCCCAGTGTTTTATTCAAACAAGCATTTTTTCAGTTACACACCCACTATATTTTTTTAAGCATTTCAAATTTACGCCACTTTTTCTGCAGATACTGTTGTAGCGGTGCGGGTTATTTGAGTACTTTATCATCTCCGTCGGTGTATTTTCTATGTGGCCCTAGCGGTTGTCTTTTGTACATGTCTGTGATGGGCCCCGAACATAAAATTAAGGGATAATTATGTATAAATGGGGTTAGGGTTCCGTATTTACTCAGAGGCGGAGTCAAAGTTCCATATTTCCCTAAAATGGATTGCTGACGTGGCACATGGATTATTACTGTTCAAGAAATGTTTTGCCAAAAATGCCCTTATCACTATTTCAGCACATTTACCTTATTGCCCCCGTTTAATTTAGTCACCCAAATTGTTGCCCTAAAATACACACACAGTCGTGCATCATATATCCATCTCACATCAGCGCCCCCTCTCTCTCTAATCAACGAAGCAAGACCAGGCAACCCATCTCGGCACACACCATCACCGAACATGGAGCCCTAACCCTCCCTCATCTCATTCGTGAAGAGCCCTCAAGAGCCCCCTCTCTTTCTTTCTCCCCCCCCCCCCCCCTCCTTTGTGTAACAGGATTAAAGCATCCTTGGTTGAGCCCTAACCCTCATTCAAGCCCTCTCTCTTTCCCCCTCTGTAACAGCGAAGCACTTCTCCACGTCTAACCGTCATTGGTGCGCCCTCTGTCTTTGCCCCTCTCTATAACCCAGCGAAGCATTTCTCCACTTCTGCCATTCATTTATTGTTGTTCTTGAACTGAAGTAAGTACTCTCTCTCTCTCTCATACACACACACGTTTATTTTTTAGATGATTATGGCCCTGATTTAGTGGTATAATTTTTTTTTTTTTTCCAATTGGATGTCTGATTTTCATCTAGGTTATGTTTATATGTATTCTCCTCTTATAATTTCTATTATGCAATCATATATATATATAATTTCTATTCTGCAATCAAGATTGTTGTTGCTCTGTTTGTTGTATATGTTTGAAATGTGCGTAACAAAATGTTGCACAAATTTGGGCTAATTATAAGGGCTCATTTAAAAAATTATAAGGTAGTTCCTCCCCTGCACATGAATTATAATTTTTACATCTAACATTTTAAAATCCATTCTAATTACGTTGGTTTTAGCCTGCCTCTTTGTCTACTACCAAAAGGACATGAAAAAACAGTATATAATTGGAGAAGAAGAATTCAATAATCTCAAATTTTCAATCAGTTTTTTAGTCAACTAATATAAATGAACACCAAAATCTATGTCACAGGTATATATTGACGGGTATAACAGACAATACAGTTTAGGTATAACAAGAAAGATGTCTGTAACAAGAAGACATGGAGAAGAAAACAATGAGAGAAAAGACAATGAAGAAGATAACAAGAGGAAAAAAACCTGGTAGATTAATAAATAATCTCCTATTGTGTACAGAATCACAACACTTACTCCAAAAACAAATATATATATATATATATATATATATATATATATATATATATATATAATATTGTGAGTTGAGTTGAGAATTTCACTTGACAGAGCTTTGATGTCAAATAAATAAAGAAAGACAGGTTTCATAAATGAGGAGTGAAGAGGTTAAGGGAACACTGACAATATTTCTTTGTATTTTGCTCTGTTTTGAAAAGGCCACATGAGAGAGCTCTCTCTCTCTCTCTCTTTGAGGTGGATCTGTTTTTTTTGGTCCAAAACTCTGGCACTACAATCAAACCAAAGACACCACCTTTATGTGAAGGTGAATACGGATACTACTTCTCTTTGCACGAGGGAAGGAATCAGAATCAAAATCAAAATAAAATTAAAAACAGCTAATGGGTGATATAAAGTTTTCAATTCCTAGCAGATAAGTGCAGTACTACTAAAGTCTCTTTTAAGAGATAAGCATTAAAACATGGTAGAGTTTATAGATTTTTGTAGAGATTGCTTTATTAAATCTGCCTATGCTCTTTTAGCTGCATTATATATATTTCTCACAATCGAGATATACATGGTTTTACCCCACTAATTCTCGGAGCTCCCAAAGAATTATTTGTACTCATGAAAGTGTAGTCTCAAAGAATTATTTGTACTTATGAGGAATCTAATTTTAAATCTGGTGCTTCATGTACTTTTATTTTTTGATTTTCAATTGTATCCAAACATCTTATTTTTTTATATTTCCATTAAAATGGTATCTCTCTTTGATTTTGGATCATGTGTGTGATTATGAAATTATGTGTTGATTTGTAAGGTTGCTTTCAGCTTTGGACAAAAGTAAAATGAAATGCTCTTTGAATTATCGACTCTCAATTAACTATGTTGGCAGCCTATTGCAATCGATTAGAATGATTAATAAATTCTTAAAATTTTGTTTCTTGTGAGGGAGGGTCTAATTTTGTAATTTTGCTTTAATGGTATTTGATAGTAACAGAAAAATTCCGTAAGTTAATATTTATATTTGGTTCTATACTAAGTCGCATAAAGTGGTAGATAGAGCGCAAAAGCAACAAAATTAAATTACAAACAAATCGTGAGAATGGGAGCTAGATTTACACCTGTTAAAAAGAATTGTATGACCTAGATTTTAACACAAACACACTTGTCATAGGCTAGCTACACCTATTGTAACTTCTGCGGCTAGCTATTGGTCACTGTTGGTGTTTGTTTGAGTGTGTTTGGATCATAAAAAAACAAACATATTTCAGCCACTACATGAATAGCTTCCCAATGAGATTGAGGAAAAACTTCAAGACAAAATGGCTGAGCTAAATCTAGTTTATGATTATGTTAAGTGCTGTTAGGAGGAGATTGAAACAGCACTGGACCTTCAATAAGCACATCAATCTTAAGAATCATAGTGTGAATTATACTCTAATACAGGTCCATAGAACACGTGTGCCATTAGGGGAGAGAAAACCCTAACGTACCTCGATTTGGAAGGAGAAAGAGAAGGAATGAGAGAAATGGTATAATAATACTTGTTTAACCTTCAAAAAAAAAAAAAAAAACCTTTAGGAGTCATCCAAACCAACATGAATTTGTTCTAATTTTTACAAGAGTTGGGCTGAAATATTTAAACATAACACGACTTTGTCGTATATATGTATGTTTATACATGATTTTAACACACACACACTGGCCATAGGACTAAATACCACACATTAACTAGTACATAATGGAACACATACACAAAACTAGTAGTAATCATGATGCAACTAATAAGCTCCATATGATCAAAGTAGTTTCACGGCTTATTTATCATTAAGCAGTAGTTGCCATGGACTGATATAGATATATATTCAAAGCATATAATTTTAAATTTTTAAGCTCATTACATTAACAAACTATCAAGACTTTCATTTTATTTTTGTCCAAATCTGAAAGCAACCTTACAAATCAACACATAATTTAATAACCACACACATGATCCAAAATCAAAGAGAGATACCATTTTAATGGAAATATCAAAATTTAGTTAAAACCATTAATACTGACCATGGTTATATCCATTTGAAATTTTAAATTCATATTGTCAGTTACAACCAATACACACTACAATATTGCTCGATAGCTATGAGTAGTATCAATTCACTCCGTTAGAAAATAATATCCATGTAAAATCAGCTATATCTGTATCCTCCTACAAAAAGAGTCAGAATTTATCAATTTTTTACTATTATTTTTTACATGGAAATTGAATCCTTATTTGGAAGCGACATGAGATACCACTCAAGCTGAGTCACTTGGATGGGGAAGGGTGGTAATAGAAGTGGAAAAAGTAAGTAATACAAAAAATAAAAAATGGTTCCTATTAGAAAGAATTCTGAAACTTAACAATTTGTTCAATTTTAAGATAACCAGACTATTTACGGGAATCTTCCATGCCCACATAGTCAGAGGGCCAAAGAAGAATGATTTTATTTGTTTTGGTAGCTTTTTTCATTCAAGCTATATATTCAAGGCTCTTTGATGACTGCAGACTAAATCCTCAGCAGAACCTAGGAATTTAGGAGTTAAAATTCAAGGCCACCAACACATAGGTAGTCCAATTAGTTTTTATGTATAATTAATTATTATAACTCAATTTAGATCAAGAATTATTCAAGATTGTTGCCTCTTTCTCAAATGGCATGTAGAGTATACCTCTGTGTAATATGTCTTTAGGCATCTACGCACATGATAGAATTGATGCAAAAGCTAGCAAACTCTATAAATGAGGCTTTTTTAATATATGTATTTAGCATTAATTTATCAAAAAAATGTATTTAGTATTAATTTATTATTCCAACATTCCCTTGTACTTGTCTCCCCCATTTTCAAGACTTACACATATAAATTATGTGTGTGAAAAATATTCAACACTCTGCTCTCTCTCTCTATTTAACTCTCAAATTTTTATTTTCAATTTATATTGTCCCATTTAACTCTCTATTCATCTCATAATCTCCCTCATCTTGTATATATGTTTGTTGTACACATAGTGATACAATTATCTAGTAATCAATGGCATTGATTTTGTGGTTGTATTTTGATTTGAAAAAGGTCTGTAGTGTGTGTTTAGGAAAAGTTTAATCTTGACACCGCCTATCCCTATTGAGGGAATTAGTAGTGTTTCGCTGTAAATAGATCTCTAAATTACATTATATAATTATGATATTTAATTGTTTTATATTTCATTATTTTTTGAACTTCATATTTAGTTTTTTTTTTTTTTTTAAACTAATGAGTCAATTTTCGAAGCAGTTGGACAAATGGATGAGAGACAAATTATATGCTATTGTCGATTTGATGGGAAAATTGACAAAAATGAGAATGGGGAAATTATATACATCGGCGGTGTCACAGACCCTTTTATGATAACAACAACAACAACATACGAATCATTTATAAATGAGTTACAACAACGTTCATCTTCAAACATGAGTGGTAAAGTCATATATTATACCACCGAATCTAACAAGAATGAACTTTTGAGGATGACGGGAGAATCTGGATTTAGAGTGATGCTTGTAGTGAGTGGTCCCATGCTAAATGTGTATATGGAAGATGCAGAGCCTGTAATTGCATCATGCACAATTCCTACTGATCATAGTGAGAGGTAAGACATATATATTTAAAGTAATACATTGATGTATGCGCTGCATAGGTTATGTGATTTTTAATATACCTTTTTATCCACTTGTAGACAATTTGTTGAAGCCACATCGCCAATTGGTCTTCTACAAAGTGTTGCGTCAACGTCTTCATTTCCTCCGATAAATTTGCATCGGGATTCTTTCCGACACATTGATGACATTCTTTACGTGGATCAGCTTTTTGACAGCCCAAATGATTTCAAAGATGCACTCGTTTTGTTTGGTCTTCGTAATCATTTTCGGTTCAAGTACTTGGACAATAGCAGAAAATATTATAGAGTTGTGTGCGAGGTTAATAATTGTCCATGGAAATTATCAGCTGGTTGTGAAGGAAGTGGTGATATAGTGAGAATCAAGCTGTTTAATAATGTTCACACTCACACTGCTCAAGACATTTCAGATTATAAAGCCATTTTTTGGTCGAAGGAAATGGGTCGAGCTATTGTGAACAAGGTTAGGGACAATCCTAAATGCACCCCCAAGACTATTTCCACAGATATAAACGGTGAATTTTCTGCTAAAATGACTTACATGCAATCATGGAGAGCTAAGGAGTGTGCACGTCATATCATTGAGGGAAATCCCAAGGATAGCTATATTTTAGTCCCGTGGTTGTGTGAACGAATAGCAGAATATATTCCTGGGACAATTACATCGTGGGAGTGCACGGATGATAGGAGATTTAAGCGAGTGTTTGTAGCTTATGGGTGCTCCATACGAGGTTTCATCAACTATTGCAGGCCCATGTTAGCAATCGATGCTTGCCACTTGAGTGGCAATTATAAAGGAACAATGCTTGGTGCAACGGGGTTCGATGCGAATGATGGCTTGTGGCCTTTGGCGTATGCTGTTGTTTCTTCTGAGAATGATGATGATTGGCATTGGTTCTTGAGCAAGGTGAAAGAGATTCTAGATGGTCGCATTGTGACAATCTTAACCGACAGGCATCTGAGCCTAATAAGTTGTATTAGAGATATTTTTGGCTCCCAGTACCACTCATGGTGTCTTCGTCACCTAACGGCGAATTTTTCTACATCCATTCTTGGGAGACAAAGTTTAGGATTGAGGGCTTCGGGTAAAGAGCATGCGAAAAAATTACTCGATAAAATTGCATATGCTCGAACTGTAGATGAGTATAAGAATGCATTGGCTACCATGCGGGTATTTCGAGGGGAGTTATGCGATTGGGTTTTGGCGAATTCACCTGAACATTGGTCAAATGCTATGTTTACTTCCAAGCATTGGGATAAATTATACACCAATCAAGCAGAGTCCTTCAATGCATGGGTGAAAGAAGAGAGGGTTTTTTCAATCACAAGGCTGATGGATACACACATGCAAAGACTCAGCAAATTTTTATACCAAAAGAGTTTGGACGTTCAGAAGTGGACTATCCCGGTTGGGGATCGTATTGAGGAGAAAATCAAAAAAGAGTAAGAGTTAGCTCTTGGTTTTCAGTCGATGCGTGTTTCGCCTACTGAGTGTACAATATATGATCGAGACAGAAAACCATTCAGGGTGGTATTTGGCAGTGAAAATTCTTGTAGTTGTTTGAAGTGGACCATGAGTGGGATTCTTTGTTCGCATGCATGCTATGCCATCCATGAATTATCTTTAAATATTTGTGAGATGGTTGATCCATGGTTTAGGGTTGAAACACAACAAAAACTATGTGAACATCTCATGTCTTCTGTCCCCATGCATGATATGCCGAATCCAGCTGCTGTTGCTGCTGCTGACGGTGAAGGTGCTTCCCATCTTAGGCCTCCTGCGGTAACACGTCCCCCTGGACGACCTCGTATTAAACGAATCGAATCACAATTTCAAAATGTAAGGTCGTTACACTGTTCGCGATGCGGCGAGAATGGTCATAATCGTCGAAAGTGCAAGGCTCCTATACCTGGATAGAATAGTTATATAATTGCTAATTCTAGTGGAGTTATTTTGTAAGGTGTTAAGGCCTTAAATATGGAATTATTTTGTAATTACTATTAATTCCTTGGAGCTCCCCTACTGCATTAGTATAACTATGTTGTGATAGTATTTCTAACTTATTTAGAAAACATTTCTAAGTATGATGTAACTTATTCTAAGTTGAATCTGTATTATTCGTCTGGTGGTTTATTTTGGTATTGAAATTATTTTCCTGGGTCCTCGTATGAGTCTTATGTGGAGTGTTATTTAAAAATCATAGGTGTGTGAGTTTTCTGGCAGCTGGAGGGTCGTGAAAGCAAGGAGGTTATGGGATTATGTGACAATGGACGGGCTTACATGTTACATGCTTACGGAAGGCTAGGAAAATAACATCATATTAAAGTCATTATGACTTGTTTCTTCACTATTAATTCCTTGGAGCTCCCCTACTGCATTATGACTGTTATTTCAACCACAATTTACCTCGTGAGTCTCTCTCTTCCTCACTTTCTTTGTGTCTCAAAAATTATATGAACATTGTGTTTACATTATCAACATTGTTTGACAAATGAGGCTGAATGGATAAATCAGTACAAAGGAAGAGTGTTCAGTTTAAACGACAAGCCTGTGGTGCACAAAATTTGGCTGCCGAATGAGGAATGCCCCAGATTGGCAATGTCTAGAGCCTTTGGGGACTACTTTATTAAGGATTTTGGACTTATATCCGTCCCTGAAGTGAGGTGTTGTCACATATAACCAGCAGAGACCAATTTGTTGTGTTGCGAACCGATGAGGTATGTATGGCACTTTTTGGTATTTATCACTTGTTCTTTTTTATACAATGACAAAGAAAAAGACTTGTTTGTTTCTCTATTAAATGTCCAAAAGATCACGTGAACGAATACGTTTCAAACTCACGAGCATAATTGACAATAATCACTTCAAATTATGTGATATCAGTTATTATTAATGAGTTTACAGGTTTTTGTTTTGGCTCAAATTGATTGGATTTTGAAATTAGTATGGATTTTTGAAGTTAATCTTAACATGCTGTGATCCTTGTTTTGTAAGCAGAATTTTTCCTATCTTTTCCTTCAAACCTTATTTAATCGGTAAGAAAATTTATTGATTTAAATTGATAGAAGAAAAATTGTGTGTTTAAGCTTCCAATGGACTTGGTTTCATGCAAATTGTTTGAGAATTTCTTTTTTATTGATTTTTCAAAGGGAAGTATGTATTTCTGGGAAAAATTGTTTCAAATAGATTTTTGCGCTTCCTTCTGATTTTTTGTGGTCCAAATAGTCCAATCATGTTTGATAGAATAAAAAAATAAAGAAACAATAATAAAAAGGATTTTGCTATAATCTTAGTTGACTACTGTTACCCCATTTATTTATTTATTTTGTTTAGAGTCTTGCTTTTGGTTACTAGCGCCTAATAAAAAAGTTGTCTGCTCATATGTTCCTTATTTTTGAGTTTTTTCATTTAACCATCTCCACTTGTACAATATTTTGGTGTTATATTTTGTTTAATTGATTTGCATGTACTTCAAATGTAGTCTTCCCGCTAGGGGCTGGGAAGAGATAACAACGGGAGCGTCGATTGCATGGCTATCAAGTACATCAAATTTGTAAGTTATATGGTCTTTATGTTCGATAAAAATCTTTTATGATTGCACATTTGTAATGCTTTTTATACTCATACTCGGGGGGGTCACATGCCTTTAAGTGACCAATTTTATGGTGTATCTTGAACTTTATTACCTTATTGCTACATCGGCCCATGTGGACGCCATTTTTTTTTCTTGTTTTAAAATGTTGAAAGCATGGGAGTATGGGATCATCGTATGTGGAGGTTTTGATTGATTGTTGTGGAGGAGAAGTTGTTGATATGTTGTTTAATGAGTTAATGCAAGTTCTCACGTTCTTCGTACATGTTGATATATGGAGGTTTTGCTAATTTTCTCTTAAACCCAACTCATTCATCAACGCTCTCTTGCTCTCTCTCTCTCTCTCTAGTCTTGTTCATCGTTTTGCTAGGATTTCTACTCTATTTTTATACAATTTTGATCCCTATATATATATATATATATGCTGTTCCTAAAACATCAATTTTGGATTCAAGAATTGGACACAAAAATGTCGCGATTCCCTCTCTCAGATCAGAAACTTCGAAGGCAAAATTTGTGCGAAAAAGTATGTGTTTCCATCTGCTTGTGTGTGTTTATGTATGTTCGCCAACCAATTGATATTTTCGGCTTTCTGTTTCGTTGCAATGAATTCAAGAAAATGAGAAAAGTTTAAATTCTTTTAGCTTTTGTATCGAATTCCTTTTGATTTTCTTTCTTTTGTTTGTCTTCGTGAATTTGTTGGACTTTTGGATTTACTGTGAACTACGGTTTCTTCGTCTACTGTTTGAATGTTTCTTTTTTTTAGACGATATCTAGTGTTGTTTGCAATATCTTTAGATTTTTGTGGTTGATGTTCTCATTAATTTCTTGGATTTTGATTTTTTTTCACGTAAGGGTTTCTTTAGCATATTTGGATGGTTTATTGTCTACGAATATGAGTTTTCAGGAATTTAGGGTTTATTTGTTCAACTTGTATAGATTCTGCACGACTAGAATTTTTGACATCATTAGATAATTTTTTAAGTCATAGTCCTGTAGGTTTCTTGGTTTGGATTTCCATGGGATTCAACATGAAGATTCAGGGAAAACACACTCAATATGTTTTTGTTTCTATTTGTATAAATTTGGATTTACGTAGTTCTTTCTTTATTCAGAGAAATAGACCCAATAAAGTTTAAATAATCAATAGGTCCCATAATCTCTTGAGAGAGGTGCAATGAGATTGTGATCAAAGACACATCAAAAGAAGAAGTGAATTCAAATATATTTGATAATGAAGCAATAGGTATAGCCATTTTAGGGCTTTCCTTTCACAATTCCTCATTGGGGGGATCCACAACACTTCTCCCTTTTCCCCTTATAACTTCCTCCCACTAATTCGAATTAGGTCTAGCCGTCCTCCTTCATTCTCCATTTTTGTGTATGCTTAGTAGTGGGCTTAGAAGAGCAAGATTGGGTAGAATGACCAAAAGATTCACAATCTAACATTTGTGACTTCTCATATAGCTTCCTCTCTATATATACCAGTCTCGAACCTTGACCAGTGGGTTTATAATTCAAACCATAAGCCAACAGGCTATAAGGTGAACCGGTAAGCATTTTCATTTCTCCAGTTGTTAGGTTTCTAAGTGAGGAAAAGAGATAATAATGTAATATTATCATATGTCCTATTGTCTTGGATTACAAAGAATTTTTACTCGAAAGGAACCAAAATAGTTGTAAAAGACAGTAACGATAGTTTCAGGTTTTGTTTTTGTGTTCCATATAAAGAAAATATTACATTTCAAAATATACTCTCTTTATTTATTTAAATTTTTTTTTAATATCTTTGCCTGCCTTCTTTTGTCATCGCAATAGGCTTCACACTAATCTTGCTCCTGGGTTTTAAACTCTATGGCTGATTTTTTCCTGTCATTTTGCCTTTATATATATATATATATATATATATATATAGGTTTTATTGGAAATTCACACTAATCTTGTTCTTTTGGGATGGCGCTGGATAGGTTTATTCCCAACCGATCTGCAATGGATTTTGATTTTGCACATTACATGCTCAACGGTGGGATGGTAAGAAAGGAAAGCCCAACACCATGCTCTCCAGCCATAGAAGCTTACAGGAAGAGGATCCTTGCTTTTAAGAACAAGTCTAGGAGATAGATTCCCCAAGTGGGTTTTCTTTCTTTCCTTTTTCTTCTTCTTGTTGCTAAGCTCTCATTCTGATTTGTGTTTTGGATTGATTGCTTTCTTGTTGACATGTGTTTGTTTGGTAATTTAACAGTGTCCAGAAAGGATTCTTGTTGTTTCTGAGCTCCTAGATGAGTTTTATTTGAATTTACTGGATTGGAGTAGCAGTAACATTGTCGCTATCGCTCTTGGGAATTCAGTATATTTGTGGAATGCTGCTAATGGCGCTACTTCTGCACTTGTTGTGATTGATGAGGAAATTGGGCATGTGACAAGTGTCAGATGGGCGCCGGATGGAGTACATCTTGCTGTTGGTTTAAGTAATTCCCACATCCAGCTGTTGGACCCTTCATCTTGTCGGATGGTAAGAGTTTTCTTTTAATTATGCTTTCATTTTTTCTATTTTATTGATCATTTATGCTTTTATTTCTTTGAACAGATTATTGTAAGTAATTAGATGAGGCATGGTGAAAAGTTGGCATTCTTTTTTAATGTTGTTCTGTTAAAAAAAGATGACAAGCATTTTTGACTAGTTGTAAGAAACCCTGGTCAATAAAGAAAAATTTTATTACAAAAAATGAGATGATAAACAATAAGATTCAAAACACATTCTCGCTGAAAGAAAATTTAAATCAGAGAGGAAAAAGCCTAAAAATAAAGAATAGAGGCACTCACACCCCGAGTGGTTGGAGGAACGAAACGTTCAACTGAATAACTACAAACCAAGAACTCTGCTCTTTGATATTTCATGAACTCATGTTTTCCATGATATGTAGGTGCTAAGAAGAAATTGGGCTTCTGTCAGTTTCTCTAACTGCATTTTGTGTGGAAAAAGAAAAACTTAAAGAAAAACATGGGTTTAAATGCAACACAAGATGCATTTTTATATCCCATTTAAGTTCTGATAAAGTTGGTAGTTTCTTTACCTTTTATTTAGTTTGGAAGAGAACAAAGTCCAGTTTAGTGGTGAAGTGCAAGGTTGAATGAGGCATGTATCATTGAAGATTTTATTATACTGATATAATGCATAAAGTGAACTACTATGAAGGATTATGGCTTGTATAGTTGGCCTATATTTTAGAAAACAAATATTAGAACTAAGAGTATTATATTCTTTATTTGGAGTGAAATGAAATGTATTTATTGCAAATTGTCACATTTCTCATGATCTAGGCATTAGATTAGATTTTTCTGGTGCCACCTCTCCATCCTGTACTCTAATTTTCTTAGTTTTTCTGAACAGCTGAGGACTTTGCAAGACGGGCATAGTTCAAGGGTTGGTTCTCTTGATTGGAACAATCACACACTGTATTAGAAAACTGTATTAGAAAATTAAAAGAAACCAAAAACTGTCTTGGTATGGATGATGGCTTTAGGATACTGCTGAAGAAAATACTAAAAAAAAAAAACTGTGTTGGTGTAGGAGTGATCCCGAAGTAGGGTTATTAAAGAAATTAAAGACTCAAAAGGTGATGTTTAACTGGTTAATCTTGAAATATAGTTGCAGTTTCTTTGTCCAGTTCTTTTATGATCCTGTTTTCTTACCCCTTGCTGAAAATATCCTATACTGGATCTTGGTTCCCTTTACTATTTAGTCTATTACTACTTACATATCTTGTTCACTGATAATCAAGTTAAATTATACTTGTACTTGAGAATCCAATATAATTAATTGGTCTTTCTGGGTGTATACCAAAATTTACATGAAAATACAAAACCTTTGGAATTAAATTAGGCGGGTCACGGGGATTTAGACCTCCATTACCCAAATTAATTGTATGGGAAAGCAGTATTGTTTATCAGGAGTAGGCGGAATTAAGTTGCCAAATGCCCAAATTAGCACTAGGCTCTCTTATCTTGGTTTTGTTTATTTATGTATGTTATTTTGTTCGTACGTTTTGGTAGTAGTTTCTTCGCTACATTTTGTTTGTCAATGATGATGATATCTATTTGATTCATAAATGACAATCTTGTTCTTTCCTTTTTGTGATTAGCATACTGAATTTGAGACTTGTGTGATGCAGCTACTTGCTTGGATTTTGTACCATGGACAATGAGGTGATTTTTTGACAAGTGCAGACTGAAACTCAAGTGCTAGAAGGTTTATAAATTTGGTAAATAGCAGTGCTAGGAAATTGATGATATTCTTGACAAATGGATTTTGTTCCTGTTTTGGAACATTGATGAATGATGAATTGTTTTGGAACTTTAGTAAATGATGAATTTTTTTAATGTACAATGAATTTTTTGTTGTAGTGATAGGCAGACACCATTCATGCACAACTTGAAAAAGTGATGGATGAAATAATTTAAAGATTATCCAAACGATATAAATAATTTATAGGAGGAAATCTATTTAAAAAATAAATTAACATTATAATAGTTTTGTTAAAATAAAGACATTAGATTAGTAAATTGTAATTACAAATAGGGATGTCAATACTCTGCCTCATGACAACAATGACACTATTTATAACTTTTTCAAACACTAAGGCTTCTTCTTGATGATGTGACCATACCTCTTTATCTGCCATGGTGTAAGGCTGTTTTACATTATTTGGCTTTTTGTTCAATCACATGGCTAGACACAGAATGGGACTCTTACTGAATAAATCAGCTCTTGTAGATAAACAAAAGCAACCCACTTTCATAACTTATCATCACATGGCTAAAGTTAAAAATAGTGGTGCTAGGTGCATGAACTATTATGCAAGACACCCCACTTCCTGCCAAAGAGAGAGAGGTGTAAGTCCCTTTTGTCAAATCATCACATGGGTAAAACTCATTCACATGTCTGTGAATTGGGCTTTGTAAATAGACATATGGCATATGCACAAAGCCATAACATTAGCACTAGTAAATCTCAAGGACTGAGTTTTTTTGAGCAATAACAGGGAGGTGGAATTCATACAAAATACTGCATAAAATAAATCAAAAATACATACATTTCATATACATACTGCATAAAATTTAACTCAACTACTAAGTTTTTTTTAGCAATAACGGGGAGGTGGAATTACAAAGTCATCATCCCCTGTATCTGAATAATCTGACAACTCTGAAGCAATTTATAAGTCTGGATCATTAGTAATGGCTTGAATAACTTCAATTGGATCCTTATGCATCTTCTTTGCAATGGAAATGCTCTCATTCCTGCAACATCTAACATATAGATTTTTTAATAGCTTTGATCAAATATGAGAAAAAATAAAGATACTACATAATCAAAGTGCACTTAGAAATCTATTTAAAAAATAAATTAACATTATAATAGTTTTGTTAAAATAAAAACTTTAGATTAGTAAATTGTAATTACAAATACGGATGTCAATACTCTGCCTCATGACAACAATGCCACTATTTATAACTTTTTCAGACACTAAGGCTTTTTCTTGATGATGTGACCATTCATCTTTATCTGCCATGGTGTAAGGCCACTTCAAATTATTTGGCTTTTTTTTCAATCACATGGCTAGTCACAGAATATGACTCTCACTGAAAAAATCAACTCTTGTAGATACACAAAACCAATCCACTTTCTCATCTTATCATCACATGGGTAAAGTTAAAATAGTGGTGTTAGGTGTATAACACGACAACTATTATGAAGACACCCCTATCATGCCAAAGAGAGAGATGTGTAAGTCCCTTTTGTCAAATCATGATATGGGTAAAATTCATTCACATGTCTGTGAATTGGGCTCTATAAATAGACATATGGCATATGCACAAAACCATAACATTAGCACTAGTAAATCTCAGTTGTTGATCTATGGACCGAAAGTATATAGAACGAAAGTACTCGTTAAGAGATGCATGGATTGAAAGTAGTTGTTTTACATTCTCAATCGTTCTCAAAACTATTCCATTTATAACTCCTCATATCGATGGTTCATTTTTTTTATGTAAAACTAACCTGGCATGTAATCGTCATCACCTCCATCGAGATTTGGTGTGTATTTATTTTTCAATGTGTTCAAGTGTGTATTTATTTTTCCCTCAATAAACGTTTTGATTGTGTTTTTACAAATGTACCTTGTATTTATTTTGCTATTATTTGGCTTCTATTCATTATAGCATTATAAGCTATTCCATTTTTAACTCCTCATATTTGAAACTATTCCATTTTTAACTCCTCACGACACTTCGTGAGGCCATGAGACCCCTCCGACGTATAGGATTTTACTGCTTGCCATTGTCTTCAACTAGCAAATGTTCTTCCTTCATATATAAGAAAATACTAGGAAATCTCCTCAGTATATATAATAAGATACTAGGAAATTTTCGAACTCTAGTGAATTGTCTTCCATAAATTTATGCTAACCCTTGTAAAAATATTTTGTGTTATTAACCTCTCTCACTTCAACCCGCTACGATTTGCTTGCATAACTCCTAATTATAGACTTGGAAGGTAAAACTCTATCAAATTGCTTAAGGAATGCTGGTGGAAGTTGCAGTCGTTGAGAGCTCCGTTCCGGGAGAAAAACTTTGCAGAACTATGGACACTAATCAGGTAAGGAGAACTTTTTGCAAAGTACTATTTCATAATGGAACTGGCTTAAAAGCAGCTTCTTTACCTATTAGGGAGAGAATAATTGTTTTTAGGATATCTTATAGAAAAAAAAAAAAAAAAAATTAGCTTCTGTGTAATGTTTTAAGTGATGTTGGAGTATATTTTGTATTACTCATTCCCTCAAGTTAGATAGATTGGAATAAAGTTTGTACTCTTTATGGCACTAATGGATTTATTTATGGATGTAATGTGCAACCTAATTAGCGATGTGGGTTATAATACCATTTTCAATTGCAAAAATAAATCCCTTTTGCGAAGGTAACACTTTTTTTCCAAAGGTACCACATTTTTGAACTGAAGGTACCACTTTTTGGCGTCAAGGTACCACGTTTTCTCTAAACACTTATTCATGGCGCTAATGGAGCTATTTATGGATGTAATGTGCAAGAAAATTAGCGGTGTGGGGTGCAATACCATTTTCAATTGTAAAAATAAGTCTCTTTTGCGAAGGTACCACTTTTTCCCCAAAGAGACCACGTTTTTGAACTGAAGGTACTTCTTTTTGGCGTCAGGGTACCACATTTTCTCTAAACACTTATTCATGGTGCTAATGGATTTATTTATGGATGTAATGTGCAACCTAATTAGCGGTGTGGGGTATAACCATTTTCAATTGCAAAAATAAATCTCTTTTGCAAAGGTACCACTTTTTTTCCAAAGGTACCATGTTATTGAACTAAAGGTACCACTTTTTGGCGTCAAGGTACCATGTTTTCTCTAAACACTTATTCATGGCGCTAATGGAGCTATTTATGGATGTAATGTGCAACTTAATTAGAAATGCGGGGTGTAATACCATTTTCAATTGCAAAAATAAGGAGGTACCATTTTTTTTCCAAAGGTACCACGTTTTTGAACTGAAGTACCACTTTTTGGAAAAAAGGTACCACGTTTTCTCTAAACATTTATTCATGGCGCTAACGGGAGCTATTTATGGGTGTAATGTGCAACTTAATTAGCGCTGTGGGGTGTAATACCATTTTCAATTGCAAAAATAAGTCCCTTTTGCGAAGGTACCACGTTTTTGAACTGAAGGTACTTCTTTTTGGCATCAGGGTACCACATTTTCTCTAAACACTTATTCATGGCGCTAATGGATTTATTTATGGATGTAATGTGCAACCTAATTAGCGGTGTGGGGTATAACCATTTTCAATTGCAAAAATAAATCTCTTTTGCTAAGGTATCACTTTTTTTCCAAAGGTACCATGTTATTGAACTAAAGGTACCACTTTTTGGCGTCAAGGTACTATGTTTTCTCTAAACACTTATTTATGGCGCTAATGGAGTTGTTTATGGATGTAATGTGCAACTTAATTAGCGTTTTGGGGTGTTATACCATTTTCAATTGCAACAATAAGTCCCTTTTGCGAAGATACCACTTTTTCCCCAAAGGGACCACATTTTTGAACTGAAGGTACTTTTTTTTGGCGTCAAGGTACCACGTTTTCTCTAAACACTTATTCATGGCGCTAATGGAGCTGTTTATGGATGTAATGTGCAACTTAATTAGCGATGTGGGGTATACCATTTTCAATTGCAAAAATAAGTCCCTTTTGTAAAGGTACTACTTTTTTCCCAAAGGGACCACGTTTTTTGAACTGAAGGTACTTCTTTTTGGCGTCAAGGTACCACGTTTTCTCTAAACACTTATTTATGGATGTAATGTGCAACCTATTTAGCGGTGTGGGGTATAATACCATTTTCAATTGCAAAAATAAATTCCTTTTGCGAAGGTACCACTTTTTTTCCAAAGGTACCACGTTTTTGAACTGAAGGTACTCATTTTTGGCGTCAAGGTACCACGTTTTCTCTAAACACTTATTCATGGCGCTAATGGAGCTGTTTGTGGATGTAATGTGCAACTTAATTAGCGATGTGGGGTATACCATTTTCAATTACAAAAATAAGTCCCTTTTGTAAAGGTACTACTTTTTTCCCAAAGGGACCACGTTTTTTGAACTGAAGGTACTTCTTTTTGGCGTCAAGGTACCACGTTTTCTCTAAACACTTATTCATGGCGCTAATGGAGCTGTTTGTGGATGTAATGTGCAACTTAATTAGCGATGTGGGGTGTAATACCATTTTCAATTGCAAAAATAGGTACCTTTTGTAAAGGTACCACTTTTTTCCTAATGGGACCACGTTTTTGAACTGAAGGTACTTCTTTTTGGCGTCAAGGTACCACGTTTTCTCTAAGGAAGATCCAAACCAATTTTTCATTCATTAAACTATCCATTTATCGACACCATGGAACCAAGGAAGATCCAAACCAATTTTTCATTCATTATAAACTGCTTCAGTTTTAAACTCCATCAAATTTGAAATTAGTACATTAATATAGTAGTGAAAGAAATTTCATTGAGACCCTAATATAATAAGCCATACAATACTAATTCCTGAAAACCCAAAAGAGCAACTTCATTTGATTTCATGTAAGGTAGATGCCAATATAATAAGCCATACAATAGTTGCAAAAATATACCAACCTAATCCACAATCAAAAGTTGCAAAGCTACTATTCTTTAAAACTTTAAAAATAGCTAACACCAACAGAGTGCAAAATACATGCAAAAAAAAATGACACTATTCAACATTACAAATGTCCCAT